CTCTCTTTGTGAGTCTAGAGAACATGATAGCTGCTTTGCCAATGCATTTATCCAGCTCGACATCTAGAGAGAATTGGAACAAATTACTTCCAACAAGCAACTCCCCGACATCTAATGGTAGAACAACTATCCCCAGGTAGAGGAGCTAAGGATCTGCCGGTGTCCTTAGAATTACAAAGCAACCACGCTGGAGGTGGCCACTTTGAGAAAGCTGTGGTAGGTAACAGCTCCTCATGATCTTTCCTCTTCTGTTGCAGAACATTCAACGATGAATCTCCCCTGGGCATCCGCAGAATCCTGTCCCAGTCCACTGATTCCCTCAATATGCGCAACCGGACGCTCTCCGTAGAGTCTCTCATTGATGAAGGTGAGATGCGGGAGGGACACGTTTAGGCGAAAATTCGTGCCAGCATCCTGTGTTCAAATATGGAGGCAAGCCAAGTAGATCCGTCGCTGTAAGGGTCGGTTTCGCACACCTATCATCCCCCTGGGGGCCATGCCAGTGGGTCCTCGTGGAGAAAACTGGGAAAATAGAACTCTCTCTCTCTCTCTCTCTCTCTCTCTCTCTCTTTCATTTTCCATCCAGGAGCTGAAGTCATCTATAACCAGCTGATGAGTGATTTTGAGACCGATGAGAAAGATTTTGAAGCTGACTCCTGGAGTTTGGCGGTTGACAACAACTTCTTGCAACAGCAGAAGAAGGACGTCATGAAGCGTCAAGATGTCATCTACGGTGGGCATCCGTCCTGGCCCGCTTTCCCTCCCCAAGTAGATCGGAAGGGATGGTGGCCCTGGAATTGTCTTACGGGCAGACGCGGGGGTCCTGCCGAGGCACCTCTTTAAATCGAAATGCATGAAGAGGTGGCAGATATGCGTTCTATGGCTCTAAGGGGAAATAGGGAAATACCGGGGTTAAGCTAGGGAAGAAATGCAGACGATGCAATCTGTGACAAGTTAATTGAAGCTTAAATGTGGGTAAGTTAAGAACTGCAAGCTTTCAAAAATGCAGGATTTAATGATAACACAATCTTCTTTAACTCGATGAACATCTGCAGTGAAAAAGACGATTTTGTCTCCAAGAAAGCCCAAACTATGGGCTTCTTCCAGATGGAATATTTTTTTCTCCTTACTCCTCCTGTCCTGTACTCATGATGCTGATATTTGTGTCACCGTTCATAGGATCTTCTTCTCATTCAGTTTTGAACACTGCTTTCTCTCTCTCTCTTTTTCCCCCCTCCTGCGGGGAACCCCTTTTGTCCATCCCGAAAGTGTATTTTTAGCACCACTTTTATAAACCCTGCAAAAGTCTCTGGTAATTGCAATCAATTAACAAGCTGAGGAAGAAGACAAGGAAGTTGCAGTAGCTTTTGCATTCAGATTTCAGCAGAGCGGTAGATTTCTTAAAGACTTTTTTAAAAAAAGAAGAAGCAGATTTCTTAAGGACGTGGGCGGTAGATTTTTTAAAGTTCTAAAACTATTGTTTGGTGGCCAATCCCAGTGAACTTTGGGCTGTTCTGGCCTCAAGTGAGAGAAAGAGGGTAGAATGAATGCTCCCCTTGGAAAAGCCCTAAGAACATGATGCTCAAGAGTTAATGTCTCATTTCGTTACTTTAGGCTGGAGCTTCACGCTGCTCCAAGTCAGCAGCAGAGTTGGTGTGTACGGATTTCCTTTTACCCTCTGGTGCGATTTTTCTGGCTGCTCCTCCAAGGAGCCAGCCACGAGGACCGAGGCCTTGTCTCATCGTTTTATTCAAGTTGCAGCAGGGAGAACGAGAGGGGCGAACGCTCTCCATATCTGGGAACCATATTTTTCCGGTTCTAGGATGTTTTGCGCAAAACGGGGACTTGATAATCAAACTGCTGCTAGTTTTGGTGGACACGAGGAGGCAAAGATTTTTCTGCCAGAACAGGGCGCTGAATAGATGGACACGCTTTGCTCTAGAGGAGAATCGCTGTTCCTCTGGGAGCAGATGTTCCTATTTTTGACAAAAAGTTGTGGGCCGGCCATATCACCCTCACTGAACGCGACAACAGTACTGGAGGCCACATAGAAGGTCTCTGAGGTGGTGTAGGGCTGTTCACGAGGGGTGTTTCTGGCTGAAAATGTTGTCTTTGTCTCGGTTCTCTACGGCTCAGGCCTGACTTGTTGCAAGAATTATTCTCTTACTGGAGAGCATGACCTAAGGTGGTGATTTCCACGTGGAAAGGGGCCCAAACTGTTGACTCATGGTGTGCAGAACTTTAATATCCTCTCAAGCATCTTTTTGAGCTGAGTTGGTTTCCTGTACAAAGTTGGTTCCTTTTTAAGCCAGCCAGCCAGCAGGCAAGCAAGGGTGAAAGGGGATGGATGTCTTTTGGGGTGTGAAATGATGATTGTGGATCTAACACGCCAGACGAGTCTTACACTTGGCGCCAACACACAAGCCTTCTCTCTGGCAGCCACGTCTCTCTGCTGCCCATCATCTGGTGTAAATGTACAAGCAAGGATCATTCTGTCAATTCTTTTTACACCTTTTTTTTACACCTAGATCTTATCTATGGAGGCCAGACTTCATGCCACCTAGGAACCTTGGCGTTTATGTTACCTCGGCTCCTGGAAAACTTTTAAGAAGGCTTTCCTCACTGAGCCTCCTTTCCTCCCCCATCCGATCTCTGCCTTTTAATGCTTATTAGCCAAAATAACCATTGAAAGGTGTGCGCGCGTGGATTTATGGACAGTCCATCAGAGTTCCTGGCCAGATTGCTGGCACACGATGCCGTGTACGTGTCAGCTGCGTAAAATATTAAAAATCATTATAACACAGTCCTTGCATGAGTGGTTATCATGTTAAAAAGCAGATAATCAAAATGCGATTGGAAAAATTATGCCGGTGCAAGGGTGATCACCCTCTTCCTTCTCTCCGTCTTTACTCTAGAGTTGATCCAGACTGAGCTCCACCACATCCAGACCTTGAAGATCATGACCAACCTCTTCCGCAAGGGCATGATGGAGGACCTCCAGATGGACCCGGCCCTCGTCCAGAGCATGTTTCCTTGCGTGGACGAACTCAGTGAGATCCACATCCGTTTCCTCGTCCAGCTCCTGGAGCGTCGCAAGGAGTCGCTGGCCACCGATAGCAACAAGAACTTCGTCATCAACCGGTTGGGAGATATCCTGGTCCAGCAAGTGAGTCTGCTGTGGTGGTTGACACCTCTTTGCACTGGGGGGTAGGCAACAAGGAGTCTGCTGTGGTGGTTGACACCTCTTTGGACTGGGGGGTAGGCAGCAAGGGATGTGGGTGGCGCTCCGGGTTAAACCGCAGAAGCCTCTGGGCTGCAAGGTCAGAAGACCAGCCATCGCAAGATCGAATCTATGCAGCGGAGTGAGCTCCCATCGCCTGTCCCAGGTCCCGCCAACTTAGCCGTTCGAAAGCATGTAAAAATGCAAGTAAATAAATAGGGACCACCTCGGTGGGAAGGTCATGGCGTTCCGTGTCTAGTTGCGCTGGCCACGTGACCACGGAGGATTGTCTGCGGACAAACGATGGCTCTATGGGTTGGAGACCGGGATGAGCACCACCCCTTCGAGTCGGACACGACTGGACTCAATGTCAAGGGGAACCTTTACCTTTACCTTAGGCAGCAAGGTAGAGCTGTTGGCCAACTCCAAAATGACTTATGGCCACCCTAATGGGGTTTTCAAGGTAAGGGAGGCATTGAAGGAGTGGTTTTACCAGTTCCACTCCCCCCGGTCAGTTTCCCAGGGCAGAGTGGAGGAATGGAACGCAGGCCTTCTGCGTCTTACCAGTTCCACTCCCCCAGTCAGTTTCCCAGGGCAGAGCGGAGGAATGGAACCCAGGCCTTCTGTGTACAGGAGACCTCACTGGGATAGTAGAAGAAAGGCAGAGGGGGACCAATTCCTCTCTCCCATCTTTATTTTCCCTTTGCTCAGACGTTGCTTCGGGAGCCAGTGTGGCATAACCTGCTGTGTCCAGATTCCCCACTCCGCCAGGAAACCCACAGCATGACCCTGCCCTGTATTCAGCTTATACGGGGTTGTTAGGAAGATAAAAGAGCAAGAGAGGATCTGTGTAGAAAGTGAGCCAGGAGCTCATTAGGGGGGGGAAAGCGGGGTTGTTAGGAAGATAAAAGAGCAAGACAGGATCTGTGTAGAAAGTGAGCCAGGGGGAAAAAAAAAGCAATGCATAAACGTAACAATTAAACATGTTGAGATGTTGGCCTCTCAGTTCTCAGGAAGCAACGCTGAGCAAATGAAGAAGGCGTATTCAGAGTTCTGCAGCCGCCACACTAAGGCCGTGAAGCTGTATAAAGAGCTCTTTGCACGGGACAAGCGGTTCCAGCAATTCATCCGGGTAAGAAGCCTTTTTTCCCACCCCCCTCCCTGTTCCTCTTTCTCCTTCTCCTCCTCCTCGATTCTTCTTCCTGAGCCTGCTAGGAGCATGATCGGTCTGGGCAAAGCACCCACGCCTGTGACGTGGGAGCCAGGAGTCGGTCGCTTGAGTGTCGCTTGGCTGTGCAGCCCCCCTAGAATATGGGCATGCCATGATCCGTGCCCCAGAGAACTCAGTTAAGGTGCGCTGCTTATGAATAGATCTAGACACAACCGATCTCTTCTGATTTCAGAAGCTTAGCAGAGTCAGGCCTGGTTAGTACAGTGGTGCCTCGCTTAATGGCGATAATCCATTCCAGGAAAATCGTCGTTAAGCGAAAACATCGTAAAGCGGGGAAAAACCATTGAAACCCCTTCAGTGCATTCCAGTGGGGTCAAAACTCACCGTCCAGTGAAGATCCTCGCTGCCTATCTTGCGAGGAATCTGTCCCAGAAAACAGCGGGGAGCCATTTTGTTTACCCAGCAGCCATTTTGAAACCGCTGGTCAGCTGTTTTAAAATCATCGTTTCGCGAAGAATCGCTTCCCAAAGCAGGGAACCGATCATCACAAAGTGAAAAAAACCCATTTAAACCATCGTTTTGCAATCGCAATTGCGATCGCAAAAAGATCGCCATAATGCGGTTTCGTTGTACTGTGGGGCAATCGTAAAGCGAGGCACAACTGTATCTGGGTGGGATCTCCAGGTAGCCCTGGGATCTCCAGGTAGCCTGAGGAGAGTTGCTGAGCTCGGTGGACCAAGAGTCTGGCTCTGTGCATGAAACAGCTTCCTAGGTTCCATTGTTGTTGTTGTATTACATCACATAACTATCCCCACCACCCCATTATTAGGTAACACTCAAGGTGGCTTAGAGACAGCATAAAATGCAATAAAAAGAACAGGTGAAGTCAAGTTCAACAGTAAAGTTGTTAAAATAAAATAGGACATCAAGTGCACAAAAATGCTCAAACAAATACAGTACAGAGGTAGAAACACACCCCTTTAGAGGCTCTCACACCCTCGGTGTCCAAAGCTCTTTTCAGGGATTCTCCTTGCATGTAAGCCTTACCTTTGAGTGAGGCTTTCCTTTCTTGTCACCGTAATTCTTCCGGGTCACTCCTGTCCTGGTTATCCATTCCAAATGACACCTTTGCGTCTATTTCTTCCTCTTTTCCCAGCGACTGACACGGTTACCGGTCCTGCGACGGCATGGCGTGCAAGAATGCATTCTCCTCGTTACCCAGCGCATCACCAAATACCCTGGGCTGATCGACCGCATCCTGCAGAACTCCAAAGGTACCAGCCCGTGAAATCAATCGGGTGGGCCCTTCGGCGAAGAGGCACTGCCCAGGTTCCCATTGGAACGGAATCATGCAACTGATTTCTTTGTTGTTTAGTCGTTAAGTCGTGTCCGACTCTTCGTGACCCCATGGACCAGAGCACCCCAGGCCCTCCTGTCTTCCACCGCCTCCCGGAGTTGGGTCAGATTCATGTTGGTTGCTTCGGTGACACTGTCCAATCATCTCGTCCTCCGTCGTCCCCTTCTCCCCTTGCCTTCACACTTTCCTAACATCAGGGTCTTTTCCAGGGAGTCGTCTCTTCTCATGAGATGGCCAAAGTACTGGAGCCTCAGCTTCAGGATCTGTCCTTCCAGTGGGCACTCAGGGATTGATTTCCTTTAGAATTGATAGGTTTGTTCTCCTTGCAGTCCAGGGGACTCTCAAGATTTCGTAACTGGTCGCAATTCATCTCTGAGCACTACCCTGACAGACTTACGCTGGCAGGATTCTGGCCAACATTGAATTGTAACACACATCTCACTCTGCACCAGCCAGATCTTTCAGTTCCAAGCAAAGATGGTGGCACGAAGGCTCAGGCGTTAAGAAACTCCGCTGCAAATGCAGTAGTTGTCCAAACATGGTCTTACTGAACCCAGGACAATCAGAACGGCTGAGCTGGCTTAGACATCTCTAGCCTAGTGACCCAGAGCAGCTAAGTCGGTGCCTCCGAGTGGCGCGCACGGAGAGCCTGGATGTCAGCCAGCTCCTTTCCTCTATTCTTCCTGTAACTGCTGGGCGGAGAACTCTTGGCCCATGGCTGATTCCTGCTTGGCGCTAACTCTTGGCAGCAAACCCCTGGCTGTTGACATTCGTGCTGCTTAGGTGCCTTGGCCCTCCCGAATTTGGGATTCGCAAGCAGCCCCTCATTAATGAGTAACCAAACTGACATGTTCTAAGCCACACCTTGGGGCATGTTAGGAAAGGTGGGGCAAACATATTTTAAACCATAATAGTTTGATTAGCAAGCCGCCCCTCCATCATCAGCGACAAACGTCACACCTTCTCTTAGTCCTCAGTCTGCCATCATTCAGCTCCAATAGATTCATTGGAATCCAGTGGATCCCCACTGGGCTCACCTGTTATGAGGACCCAGTGGGTTCCCTATCTGGTTCCTTCACACAGTGAATAACAATGTTATACTATACAACCATTTTACAGTGGTGCCTCGCTTAGCGATGTTAATCCGTTCCAGAAAAAACATCGCTAAGCGATTTCATCACTAAGTGATTTTTAAAAGCCTATAGAAACGCATTAAAACATGTTTAATGCATTCCTATGGGCTTAAAAACTTACCTTTCAGTGAAAATCCTCCATAGCGCCGCCATTTTCGCTGCCTCTTAAGCGAGGCAAAACAGCGGGTGGCCATTTTGTTTTTCCGGTGGCCATTTTGAAACCGCCGATCAGCTGGCCGAAAATGGGGGCTTTGTGATGATCGCTTCCCCACGATCATCACAAAGCGAATTTTCCCCATAGGGACCATTGCTAAGCGATCACTTTTGCGATGGCAAAAAGTCCATCGCTAAGCGATTTCGTCGCTCAACGGAGCGATCGCTAAGCGAGGCACCACTGTATATACCTCTGTCAACCATTTTATCTGTCTCTTATCATTTTTATACTTCTCCCTTTAGATAGTAAACAACCCTTAAACCTTTCCTCACATGGGAGAGTTGATTCAGTGGCTGCATCCTTTTTTTTGCACGTTTCTTGGCTGTGCCTGACGTTTTTCAGGAGTAGCACCCAGCCTGGTAGATGGTACTGCTCGGCAGAGTATAAAATTGAATAGGAACAATACAGCATTGGCAGCTTTATTTTGATATTTTTTTAAAATTAAGGAATTGGCCTTTTCAGTTTCAGCTCTACCGCGACCCCCAAAGTCACTTTCTTGGTCAGTTCACTAGTCAAGGTACATCCCATCGAGGCGATGCATGAAACTGGGAGCTTCTGCATTCGTTGAACGCAGGCCTCTGCTGAATCTCATTTGTCCTTTCAATGACCTGCTCTGGCAGTTTGGGGAGATCTTCTCAGACGTTTGTCACAATCTGTTTCTGTTGTGACCACCAAGGAAGGAAAATGGGCGTCAACATCAAACTTTGGCCACTGGACTTCTCATCTCCAAAATCCAGGTCATTTATGAACCTTTGAGTCCTTGCAACTTTCATGCCAGCCCATTTTGGGTGGCCTTGCTTTTTACAGGCTCCACTTCTAATCGGAAGGGTCTTCTGCAGTTACCCCAAACGAGAATGCCGCCCGCCACTCTCGGATCACAGCGCCAACACGGCTGTGATGAGTGGCCTTTTGGAGATGCAGGACAGCAAAAGACTTGGAAAGTGAAAGGTTGAGGGACATGTGACTATTTTGTCCGGAAAAAAGGAGAGCCAACAGGGTTCGTTCGTTCGTTTAGTCATGTCCGACTCTTCGTGACCCCATGGACCAGAGCACGCCGGGGTTCCCTACCCTCACCGCCTCCCGTAGTTGTGTCAAATTCATGTTGGTCGCTTCGGTGACCCTGTCCAACCATCTAATCATCCTCTGTCGTCCCCCTTCTCCTCTTGCCGTCACACTTTCCTAGCATCAGGGTCTTTTCCAAGGACTCTTTTCTTCTCATGAGATGGCCAAAGTACTGGAGCCTCAGCTTCAGGATCCGTCCTTCCAGTGAACACTCAGGGTTGATTTCCTTTAGAACAGGGTAGCTATCTTCAAATGTGTGAAGGGCTCTTTTCTGGCACTCCAGGTGAGGGGATCTTAACTACTGGATTCAAACAGCAAGAAAGGAGTTTTTGCCTAAACCTTAGGAAGATCTTTTTGACCACAAGACCTGTTCAACCATGGAACAGACCACCTGAGAGGATGGTGGATTTTTCTTCACTGGAGGGTTTTTGTTTTGTTTTTAACAGAGGGCCACGTCTTGGATGATTTAACTGTGGGTTTTCTGCTTTGGCCGGGGGTTTGGGCTCGGTGACCCTTGGAGGTCCCTTCCAGCTTTACATTTCTAGGATCCTGGGTGGCTAAGGGTGCAACACGCCTCTTGGTGACCAGGTGGCAAGATGGCGCCAGGCCATGGCTTTGATCGAAGTTTCCCTCCCTCTTTTTTCTCCCTCCAGGGAACGAAGCAGATCAGCAGGATCTTAGCACGGCCCTGACTCTGATCAAGGACCTCATTAAGGATATTGACCAGGAGGTGCATGATTACGAGAAGAATGCCCGCCTGCAGGAGATCTATGCCCGCGTGGATGGGCGTGCCAAGGCTCTCCTGCCCTGGGAACGGGGCTCCTTCTGTAAGGACGAGATGCTGCGACGGAAGCTGGTCCATGATGGCTGCATGCTCTGGAAGACGGCCGCCGGGCGCTTCAAAGGTGGGTGGCGACCGAGATATTTTAGTAGCAGGAAAGCTCATAGTCCAGCAGCCCTCCTGAACCCAGATGCCCTTTGGATATTTTGTTGTTCAGTCGTTTAGTCGTGTCCGACTCTTTGTGAGCCCACGGACCAGAGCCCGCCAGGCCCTCCTGTCTTCCACCGCCTACCGGAGTTGGGTCAAAGTCATGTTTGTCGCTTCGGTGACCCTGTCCGTCCATCCCATCCTCCGTCATCCCCCTTCTCCTCTTGCCTTCACACCTTCCCCAACATCAGGGTCTTTTCTAAGGAGTCTTCTCTTCTCATGAGATGGCCAAAGTCTTGGAGCCTCCGCTTCAGGATCTGTCCTTCCAGTGAACATGTCCTTCCGTTGGACATATTGGATGGCAAATCCGAGTAGGTCCGGCCAGCTAGCTTCTGGGCATGTTGGCTTAAGATGGTGTCCAAGTAACTCTGGAAGGGTTAAGAAGCTCAAAAAGCTTGGGATGAAAGAGGAAGAAATCCTTATCCTGCCTTGGGGAATCATATCTATTATATTCATTGTCTCTGGGTGTTTACCTACTAGATTCTGGACAGGGAGCTCAAGGCCGTTCACAGATCAAAACATTGCAGTGTCATATAGATGGAGGGTAAAATGGGGGGAGAAGGGAGATAAGCTCCTTCCACTAAATGAGAGCCAGCCAACTCTGTACAGAACGACGGTGGAGATGAGGAGCGGGAGGTTGTTGGCTGTAGCCTGGCAGAGAGAGCCCCCCCACCCCCAATTCTCACCTTCCCGCCAGTCACTTACAACTAGAAACACTTCACTGTGATCTGAACACAATCTGCATTGAATTGGCAAAGGAACCGGAGGGTGTGACTACTCTCAGTGTTCTCCTGCTGTTTGTGATATGCTGATCAGTCTTTCTTTCGAAGTATTTTCTATCGACTGCACTACGTACAGCTAATTATGATAAAGCCAGGGTGTTGGGTTTTTTTTAGTGTGTGGGGGTATTCATTTCAGGGCCTACTGGGCTATAGTAAGTTTGTTTTCGTATCAGCTCCCCTCACATGGCTTAGTTTTGCTTTCTGGCATGTACGATGGTCTTGCCGACAAAGGTTCACATCGTCAAAGCTATGATTTCCAGTAGCGTTGTATGGAAGTGAGAGCTGGACCACAAAGAAGGCTGACCGCCGAAGAATTGATGCTTTCGAATTATGGTGCTGGAGGAGGCTCTTGAGAGTCCCCTGGACTGCAAGGAGAACAAACCTATTCATTTTGAAGGAAATCAACCCCGAGTGCTCCCTGGAAGGACAGATCCTGAAGCTGAGGCTCCAATCCTTTGGCCATCTCATGAGAAGAGAAGACTCCCTCGAAAAGACCCTGATGTTGGTGAAGGCGAGAGGAGAAGGGGATGACAGAGGACAAAATGGTTTGACAGGGTCATCGAAGCGACCAACATGAATTTGACCGAACGCCGGGAGGCTGTGGAAGACAGGAGGGCCTGGCGTGCTCTGGTCCATGGGGTCACGAAGAGTCGGACACGACTTCACGACTAAGCAACAACAACAACAACATGTATGATGGTCTATATCAGTGGAAAGGGTCAGTGGCGTGGGTGTCCTACGACAAGGCGGACATTGATGTCTTCAGTAGGGTGGTTGTGTGGCAATATAGCAAGAACATCCCTCTCCAGTGATCACCTCATAGTTCTCCTTGGGATGCAAACATTGACGTGGTTCTGCTACGTGCAGCACTGCACCAGATAAGAGTTTTAAGGAAGCATCTCCCTCCCTACTCTTTCTGTTCCCCTTTTTTGCATCCCTCATGCCTTCACATCCAGAGAACGGAGGCATTCCTGTTATAGGTGAATCCTCCAGGGAAGGAGACCCGAAACTAAATTAACCAAATTGTGATCTCAAAGGATTAAAAATGTAGTATAAGAGTTGCACAGACTCACACGTGGGAAAAGGTGGGTTCTACTGCTGCAGGAAAGATCCACGCCACACACAGTCCTGGTCAGTGGCAAAACCCCACATCAGCTTTTCTAGAAGAGGTTCAGAAGATTGCGAATCACCGTGGGCAACCCTATGGAAGGAAGGGTGTGGGAAGGGAGGATGGAGACCCGTCTCCCCTTTTTAGCCAGTCATGAATATCGTGAGACCTCACGCAGCAGGGAGGCTCTCTGCCCATCCAGGGACCTGGAGGAGGAACAGAGAGAAAAGTAGATTTGGGGATGGCATGCAATGCAGCAGCTGTGTCAAGGTTGGATGTACGACACTCTGACAAAGTCCTCGGAGCGCTATAATATTGATAAAACTCCTTGGTTGTTTGAGTCTGTGGTTTCTATCACAGCTGACATTTATCCCTAATAGGGTTAATTCCAGTGTGAGATCCGATGCTCTTTCCAGTCATACCAGAGGTCATCTCGGTATCAAGGCAGAAATATAGAATCTATCGAGCATACAATGCTCGGATATAATAGGCACAATAAGATCCGAGGAAAATATATTACACCTCTCCAAAAAGATATGGTATTTCAATTGGATTCGGACTATTGTAACCAATTGTTAATGGATCAGAATTGGACTACTATGGAACTGGTTGCGAAATTTTGGCCGGCATGGCATAGTAGCCAGAGTAGACGGCCAAAGTCTTAGACCTTGATCTATATTGCTATATTTGTTGTTTTAGATATTTTGCTTTTTTTAATGTCCGGTTTGGCTTTTTGGATTATATATGGCCGTTCTTGAAGTTTTGTATTCCATTTTGTCTTATGTCTGGCTTGATGCCGTAACCATAAAGTAGGTAAAGTAGCAATAGTATCTTCAGTTCCCACTGAATGGCATCTGTCAAAAATGTTTTAGGAATAAAAATGGCTGAGAGCTACAGCAGCAAAATAAAAGCAGGGGGGGCGGAGAAAAGGAAGGGGGAAAGGGGGAGTCACTAATGACAAAGGAAGGTGGGAGGCTGCGATCCAGTGAGAGTTTTAGTGATTGGATATGTCGCGTGGACTTCCACTACACACCTTCCCCGGAGGGTCAAACATCTCAGTGTGAAGAGCAACAATGATTTCAGCAGCAGACACTGCCAGGGGTGTCGTATGTAAAACATCAGCCTCTCTTTATGGGCTGAAAATAATTTTGCTTTTGTTACACAGATGAACGCATGACGTTCTTAGGATGCTGAACAGTGACTGAGCTGGCCTTTATAGCAAGAACCTTAACGGAAGGCCTTGTTATGATGCCACTGTTCTACTATAAAATACTCAAAAGGTCTGACATTCCAAATCCACTATTCATCCTGTTGCTCCCTTATTCCTCCCTTCCCTTCTCCTGCAGATGTTCTGGTTCTCTTGATGACAGACGTTCTCATCTTCCTCCAGGAGAAGGATCAGAAGTACACGTTCCCCACCCTGGTGAGTGTTTTTTCAGGTCCCATGGTTCTCCTCTGGTGTAAGAGACTTGAGGATCTTGAGTGCCCTGGAAGTGTGGGTGTCTTGGCAGTTTTCTGGAAGACAGAGCTTGGTCACCACTGACAGTAGTGGCATTTATATGTGCGTCATCTCTGTGACCGGGTGTTGTCCAGTTGCTAGAAGAAACCAGCTCTTCCAGCTGTCTGAGAGGATGCGTCCAACATGGCGGAATTGTTTCCTTGAGCTATAGCGAACTAAGTACAGTGGTGCCTTGCTTAACAAGCGCACCGTTTAACGACGAATCCGCATAGCGACCCCTTTTTGGGGGTTGCTAATGCGATCGCATTGCGATGTTTAGATAGGCTAAACATTGCATTGCAATCATTTCTGCACCCGGCGGCCATTTTGGAAACAGCTGATCGGCGGTTCCAAAATGGCCTCCAGGTGCAGAAAATGGCCACCCATACCATTTTCGCGCCCTGCCCTTGCTTACCGGGCAGCGAAAATGGTGGCTGGATCCAGGATTCTTCGCTTACCGGTTTTTCCCTAATAGGAACGCATTAAACGGTTCTCCCTGCCCGGATAGCGAAGAATCCGGATAGCGACGTTAATCCTGGAACGGATTAACATCGCTATGCGGGGCACCACTGTATAAGAATCTCTTCTTGCCACTGGCTGACTAAATCAAAGGACAGTTGACCTGCTTAAGGAGGAGAATGTCAGCCTAGGACACTAATAAACAGTGCAGCTTCTGGAATTGATGACAAAGATCTAGTTGCTTGGGGGGGAAAATATGTGTGTG